GTCGTACAAACTATTCGCTCGCCGATTTTATCACGCGCGTTTCAGGAAAGGATTGGTTGTCCGGTATGATTGATTCAAGGCCTTATTCAGTGGATTGCCTTAAAACTATTGCTCGTCGTAAATTTGAAGAGCTGACAAGCCGATCATTTGAAGTGAAGATTCATAATTCAACCAACAAATATCGTATTCGTTTACCAGAATTCGATTTTGAGAACTTAACTCTTGATACAATTAAAACGTATATTAACAATCCTATTTTCGAAGATTTGATTGATGGAGATCTTAAAATCGTCTTGAGAATCGCCACTCTTTTAACTTTACAATTGGCCACCATAAGATGGATACGCCCGAGAGCTTCACAAAGTACGATAAAGCATCTTTATGGTGAATCAATTTATCCTGAAATTGATGATGTCAAGTTAGTGGATATTATGAATGAAGTAAAAATTTGGAACATCAATGACTATTATTCCGATGAAACTCTCAATTATATGATCGAAGATTCTGCTTTTAGATGGAATACTTGTATAGCTCCTTTGTTGTCTAAATTCTTATCATTTGGAAACATGAAGTACTCTAAATTCGGGACTAAAGCCCAACTCGTAGAGTTTGATCCTGGAGCTATCAATACTGAGGGGAATAGCATTTTTGGGGAGCGTTCCTTTTCCTGGAAAGGTCATTCGGATGCGAAAGCTGCTTTGAAACTTTCTCCATCGGAAGCTATTATCGGTGTCGCCGTGGGATTCAATGATTCAGTTCAAGCTACTGGGAGGTTTAATATTAATTATGTTCAAAACCAGAATCGTATTCTTATTGATTATTTGATGTCTGATTTTTGTTTTTCTACTATGTAGTTTATTTTGTTTTTGTTCTATGTTCAATAAAGTATTCCGAATAAATCAACCTCTTTCATTTTAAGGTTGATATTTTTTTTAAAAAAAAAATTGTATGAGGGAGGATCGACTGACAATCTCTGTGATCGAATAGAAAGAAAAGTAAAAGTTCATGTCAAAAATAGTATTCCGCCAAGGGCAGAAGCCCTGGTAACGAAAAAAAGAAAGATGGAGGAGTCAAAGACAAAAAAACCGGGAGAGAAAATATGAAAATCCATGAAACTAGATCGACATTGAAAGCGGAAACTGATAACAAAGAAAACCTGGATCCCACAGAACAGGCGAATAAATCAGGGAATATTAATTAGGCGATAAAGAAAAAGGTGCTAACAACTGGTTTAATTGGGCTGGAGCGTAGTGTAAGACCATTCTATGCTCTACTAATTTGAGTCGATGCCCAGTTCCCACCCCTATACTTATATTTATATATTATTGAACAATTATATCCCTGTAAAAATTTGATCAGAATTTCGTTATGATAAACAAAATAGACTAATAAACATGATAAATAAAATGACGATTAGCGGAATAAATGTGATAACGTAATATAAATAAAATAGAGAATAACAAAGCTAATTAAAAGCTGATTAATAATTTGTTGTATCATACTAAAAAAAAGAATTTATACGCCTGAAAAAAAGGCTGCAAGAATGATTCTAAAAGAAAGATATTGGCTCTTATAATATCCGAAGAACAGTTAAGTTACCAAAACGATGAGTTAATAAAAAGACAAGATCAGCGCAAACGTAAATAATAATGTCGAAAAAGAAAACACAAATCTAAGTGACGGACGTGATGTTTATTATAATTTCAACAATATTACCTATTTTTTTTTATATGACCAAAATATCTTGTCATTACCACATGCATGCCAGCTTTCTAATTACGATAAGGGTTTTCTAAAGAAGTTTCGCAATGCAGTTTTTGCGCTTAAATTTAGAGAGTTTTCCTACGATCGTATTAGTATATAAACAACATAATGTACTAGATGCAATTAGTACTCCGCAAAATCAAATCAAATTTTGAATTTGAGTCAAATATTTGAAATTATTTGATCAAATTAATTAAGAATTTGACTAAATAATTTCAAATATTGACTCAAACTCAAAATTTGGTTTGATTTTGCGGAGTACTACCCATATGTTAAATTATATTTGCATATGTGACATATGATAAGTTGGAATTTATAAGATTTAAGAAAATAAAATTTAGAGATGCGTATCATATTCATTGATGATTATTATAAAATGTGGCTTCGAGAGAGTGAAAATGGAAAATAGATAGATGAGCTACTAGTTTTTTTTTACAAATGATTGTTGATTTTAAAAAATAACTTGGGGACTTTTATTTAAAAAAAAAACTTTAAACACATATACACAATTACTTTTTATTAACTTTATAACTCTATAAGCACAAGCAATTAAAGAATATCAAAAACAAATAATAATTGCAAGATTCCACCAAAAAAAAAAAACATTAAAATTTATTGATGAACACAACGAAATTGTAAATTAATCCGTTAGGATACCAAATGTTATAATAAAAGAAAAATCCATAAAAAAAAAATCCTAAAAGCTATAATAAATAGAATTATACTCTTGATTATTAAATAAATTCTAAGAAAAATTTCCAAAATAAACTTACCCTCCGGCTGCCATTAAAAAAAAAGACCAATACAACAAAAAGCATCATTAAAAATACTAAAATTACAACAAATTGCATTAAAAACAGAGTTTCAAACTTGTTGTTTAATTCATCAATTCTCCTCATGAATTCTCGAATTTCTTGATTAAAAGAAACGTTTTTACGTTCAAAATGTGAAGAGACCGCATTATTGATTTCGGTAAGAATTTTTCGACATGTTTTTCGTTACATAAATGCCCAAAGTAGTGAATTCCGAATATTTAGAAACCTCTGACTTAAATTTATCAACCTGACCAACGGTAACCTTTTCATCACAAGTGACCAGAAGCATAGTTTTTGATGTGCGCCGACTAAATAAATATCATCATCTTTATCAGAACTACAAAAAAAAGAAAAAATTATAAGTATACCATAATCGTTGATGTAACCTATTCACCACAGGCTTCCGCGCGAAGCTAGATCTAGCTTTTCGGATTAAACATAACGGAGAAGGACGTTCACAGGTATTCCTGTGGCCACGATGCGCTTCCAGTTCTCCGATGCAATCCTAGTGGCAGCGTAACTTCAGATACAATAACAACTAGATTCACTTAGTGATGTCTCACCTCAAAACGTTAAGATTAATATTAACAAGTGTCAACGCAGTACTAACTTGTTCAAATAAACTATATCGCTTTATGAGTGCTGCCATAATGATAAAAGCTTAAGAAAAACTTAAATTCAGAAAAAAAAACCAAACCATATACTTATCATATTTGAGACAATTTATTCTCAGGCAAAAAAAAAAAAATTACTCTTCGCAATTTCAATATACAAAAAAAAAATATATATATGCAAAGAAAAAATTATAGCTTAGTGAAGTGTGCTACTGAAAGAATTTCAAAATTGTAAGACAGGTTTACTTTAGAGCCCTTACTGAAATATTTCTTTTAAATACAGAAATAATACTGTAACTGTTTTATCAATTTTGTAGGGGGTGACCGTTCATTGTTACACGAACTCAATTTTACCAACGCTAAAACCCTAGCGCACCCACAAAAATTTTCCCCGCCCGTGAATTTTAGCCAATCAAATTTCAAGATCAGGTGTAACGTAAACAAACGAAGCGAAACCATTTTTTACAAATAAGCGAAATTTTAATTAAGAAACCACCTTCTGCGGCCTAATTAAAAATGTTCCTTGTGAAATTTTACTAATAGCAACAACCCTAACTCTAACCCTAACCTTACCCTGTTCTCACTCTAACCCTAATTATAACGCGGTTTTATAAATTCACGGGTGGGAAAAATTTTTGTGGGTGTGCTACCTAAAATAGAAACCAACGCTCATATATATAAAACCTGGTCCGTATAGTATAGATTTAAAAATCGGCCTATACTATACTAATCTGCCACCTATACCATACTGATCTGCAAAATACCTCGCCCGATCAGGGACACGGAAACAAAATTCCAAAATTTTCCAAATTTTGGCTTCAAATATCCAATTTGGCCAACTGTAACCGACCAAACCCATTCCTTTGACGCAGCTATTCTTGCAAAGACGCAACGGCTTCATCTGTGTTTCGCCTGACGAAGTCATTAGCAATTGAGAACATGACGAAACTCATGACGTCCTAAAAAATGCAAACATATAATTGGCTCTCTTTTTGACAATCTTAATTATACCGACTTTTGGACATTCCGAATCTTAAATTTATTGTTGTTCCTCATTATAAAAACTCATCGGTCCTGAAAGCACAATTTTTAATTGACAATGAACTTTTTCTATTAAAAATCGTAATCATGACAAGTTAACTCCACAAAAATTAACAAGACCATAAAAGATTAATTTTTAGCTTTACATTACATTGAATCTGAAACTGATAATTTTTTATAGTTCATGAATTTTACGAGTTTTATCATGCATCATGGGTTTCGTCATTTGCCATTTCATCAACTCGCGCCAATGACGCAAGTTGCGTCATTCATTAAGCATCATTAGTTGTAAACTCTATAAAAAAAAAAAGTAAGATTCTATTCAGATTTTGTTCAGATCATTATTTTTAAAAATAAGCATTTCTGTAATAAAATTCTGATCAAAGTTTAAATAGAATCTTGACCTTTTTTTATCACTAAACACAAGATTCTTACATTGCCTGTGGCAGCTATAGAACCTAATCACAATATGAGCTCCTTGCATTGCTGCATTGCTATCATAGCCATGGAGCTTAATCACAACATGAACTCCTTGTACTGTATATTACAATACAGCAATATCAATAGAACATTCATCTCTAACTTCCTTTAAGCAACTCAAGTGCCTAGTTGAACTTTATAAACATGAAAGACAAAGCAGAGATCAGATTTAATCTATGATCACATGATCTCACAGACCTATGGGTTTGTAGGATCTCATATAATAATTTTGTTAAAATTTAAGAGGCTTGAAACTAATAAAAGGGTTATACAGTTAGGGTTGTAAGGTTGTAACTTACATACTTACTTTACATGTAAGTTATATATAAGTTACATCCAAATTTTGTAAGGTATTATATACAATACAATAAATAAACCAATCAGATTAATATACGCTAATATAATATATGATATATATGATACAATAAAAAATAGAATACTTTATGACTATGTGATTGTAAGCCACTAAGCTTTACAAAATAAAAAAAAGCTTTATTTAA